GAAAGAATATTAGACGTATACAGTTCAGTTCAGCAACTTACTATAATCACCTATCATATGAATATTAGACGTTTAGTTCGTCTACAATTTAGAGAAATTATTTTACAATGTACATCTTTAGTGAAAAAAATAGATGGATTCAGATTCAAGTGAATATGTGTATCTAATTTTTAATTACAAATTGACAGTATTTTACTTTCTCTAAGTCGAGAATAAAGTTTTAAGCAGGCAAATAGGAAGTAAAATGGCAACTATTTAGTGTACATGTACATAGTTTTTGTAAACCATAAGGATAAAGTTTTTTTTTAATTCGGCATGCTTAACTTAGTTAAATTGATTAACTCTGTTTGTAAATCATTTCGTTAAACAAGACTTACATATAATATATATAGCTACTGTTTTGTTATTAAAGAGATTATGATTATCAGAGACACTTACTGCATCATTATGGCTCTTGCAATTCCACTAAAAGTAAGCGTTTATGATGTCATTATTGCAAAATGTGTCATTAATATATAAGAACCTTTGAGAGTCGTGACGTCATAAAACGCATAGTTTGAGTGGAATTGCAAGAACTACAACCCACCCCCTTCCCCACCCTGGCCACTTCGCCTAAGTAGTTGGACCACTACTGATTAGATTTGTTTGGTGTAATATTCTCACTAGAGATGTTAACTAATGTATAAGATTTATTTGGTGTAATATTCTCACTAGAGAAGTTAACTAATGTATAAGATTTGTTTGATGTAATATTCTCACTAGAGAAGTTAACTAATGTATAAGATGTGTTTGGTGTAATATTCTCACTAGAGAAGTTAACTAATGTATAATATTTGTTTGGTGTAATATTCTCACTACAGAAGTTAACTAATGTATAAGATGTGTTTGGTGTAATATTCTCACTAGAGAAGTTAACTAATGTATAAGATTTGTTTGGTGTAATATTCTCACTAGAGAAGTTAACTAATGTATAAGATGTGTTTGGTGTAATATTCTCACTAGAGAAGTTAACTAATGTATAAGATTTGTTTGGTCTAATATTATCTCTAGAGATGTTAACTAATGTATAAGATTTGTTTGGTCTAATATTCTCTATTAGTGCTAGAGCCAGTTAACAGTTCTTATAACAGTAATCGTTATAGTGTGGGGGTACCTCTATAACCACAAACATTGATCCTCTCTCCCCCTCCCATGGGCCACTCCCCCAATTCAGTAGTAGACTACTTTTATGTAGTGATTAATATAAATGACTGTATTTCAGAGATATCAAGAGTTTTTATGGTTACCGTACCCGTTTTCTGTCTACTCTACCAATGCGTATTGATATGTAGTTTTTACCGTAACGTTCCAGTAATACCCGAATCATTAGTTTTTGTCTGTAAATTTGAACATTATCCTGATATACATCTCGAGTTTAAATTTATTGGACTGATGAACTCACTAATAAAAATATGATCTCTGTCCAGTGGCGTTTTTTACTGGGGGGAAGGGTAGGGGGTGGGCTATGGGATCTCCTTTGTATTGCAAGGATAGTCGTCTTACAGGTTATACTGTACAAATAATGTAGAACACAGTTACGGTAATATATATGAGTTACGTCCCTTGTTACAACATGCGTTGATATATGATAAGACTCCATTGTCAAAGCTTATATATATTTTTAAAAACTGAAACAGAATATTAGTTTTGAAAGATTAAAGAATGAAATAAACTACTCTTTGAATATCAAGATATATTGATATAAAATATATGAACATAGAAAATATAATATTATCAACAATGGACTATTTATTTAACAGGACAGGTGTGTTTGTGAGTAGGAATGATTTTGATTTAAATTTGAAAATGTATTAAATCCTGATGTGTATTGTTCGCCCTTTTTGAATGAGTAAAAATAAATAATATATACCCCCGCCCCCTCAAAAAACATGGGCGGACAAATTTCATTCACCAGCAGAGTCGAGTGTGAATTAATGAAAAGAGGCTGGCACACATGTAGCGGAGTTAATTTTACAATACAGGTTTTAAACTAAAAGTTTAGATTGTATCATGTATGTATACTTGAATAAAATACAACATTTATCACTATTCTAATTACTAATCAACACAGCTTAAAACTAATTACATCTTTCTTATAGTTTGGCTTGTTGACTGACTAACTCTTAGGGTGAGCACTTTTCTGCTCTACTTAGCAACAGCTAAACTTGGTCTTGGTTACCTAACAAAATTTGGATTTCGAAATCCTACGGCGCGATACGTTTCGGGTAAACGGGGCTGTCGTGGCAACGTATTTTGACGTGGACTCAAGAACTTAAAGGGATTGTAAATACCTCGAACTACGAATTTCATTTTCGATTTCTATTTACGTTTTTTCTTTATATTATGCCAGAGTCTCAGGAAAAGACGAACCGTCTTTTGAGGAATACTACACCAAGTGTTATAGAGATTAGACTACAATCTAAACTAATTTTAAAGACAGAAATAAGGTAAGTGTTTTAGAGATTAGACTACAATCTGAACTAATTTAAAAGATGGAAATAAGGTAAGTGTTCTAGAGATTAGACTAGAATCTGAACTAATTTTAAAGACAGAAATAAGGTAAGTGTTTTAGAGATTAGACTAGAAGCTGAACTAATTTTAAAGATAGAAATAAGGTAAGTGTTCTAGAGATTCGACTAGAATCTGAACTAATTTAAAAGACAGAAATAAGGTAAGTGTTCTAGAGATTCGACTAGAATCTGAACTAATTTTAAAGATAGAAATAAGGTAAGTGTTCTAGAGATTAGACTAGAATCTGAACTAATTTTAAAGATAGAAATAAGGTAAGTGTTCTAGAGATTTGACTAGAAGCTGAACTAATGTTAAAGATAGAAATAAGGTAAGTGTTCTAGAGTTTCGACTAGAATCTGAACTGATTTTAAAGATAGAAATAAGGTATGTGTTCTAGAGATTCGACTAGAATCTGAACTAATTTTAAAGATGGAAATAAGGTAAGTGTTCTAGAGATTCGACTAGAATCTGAACTAATGTTAAAGATAGAAATAAGGTAAGTGTTCTAGAGATTAGACTAGAATCTGAACTGATTTTAAAGATAGAAATAAGGTAAGTGTTCTAGAGATTCGACTAGAAACTGAACTAATGTTAAAGATAGAAATAAGGTAAGTGTTTTAGAGATTAGACTAGAATCTGAACTAATGTTAAAGATAGAAATAAGGTAAGTGTTCTAGAGATTAGACTAGAAACTGAACTAATGTTAAAGATAGAAATAAGGTAAGTGTTTTAGAGATTAGACTAGAATCTGAACTAATGTTAAAGATAGAAATAAGGTAAGTGTTTTAGAGATTAGACTAGAATCTGAACTGATTTTAAAGATAGAAATAAGGTAAGTGTTCTAGAGATTCGACTAGAATCTGAACTGATTTTAAAGATAGAAATAAGGTATGTGTTCTAGAGATTAGACTAGAATCTGAACTAATTTTAAAGACAGAAATAAGGTAAGTATTCTAGAGATTCGACTAGAATCTGAACTAATTTAAAAGATAGAAATAAGGTATGTGTTCTAGAGATTAGACTAGAATCTGAACTAATTTTAAAGATAGAAATAAGGTAAATATTCTAGAGATTAGACTAGAATCGGGTAACAATCTACACAGACACGTCAAATCCCTGGCTGTCTCCTTGGTCTATATCTCAAAATCATCAAAACAGGTAAAATTAGAATTGTGTTAACAAGTCAAGGGGAATAACTGTTTGAATATCAGAATACTTTGTTTTATATTTCTGTTTTAATTTCTCTTCTTCATATTTCAGGTTTCTCTTCTTGATTGTAAAACAACTTGAACAGAATGGCTAGGTGTTATCACGATCAACAAGACTTTACATCTGATCTTAAAATAGAAGTAGCAAGAGAAGGTGATGTATTAAAGGAAGGCCAAGATTTAGATGAGATTGAGTGTAAAAAGAATCCTGGACATCGAGATTTCATTCCTTTTAAAGATCTAACTTTAGAACAATTACCAAACAAACTGAGAAATATAGATATTTTAGATAAAATTAAAGTGATAGGTAGTCGAGTTGTCAGACTAGTGATAGATAAGAAAGAAAGTGGAAAATGGAAACGAGAACAGGGTCTGGATTTGTAGAAAAGAATGATGATAACCAATACTATATAATGACAAATAACCATGTTGTTAAAACGGACGATGAGGTGAAACAGTGTACTGTCGACTTTCATTATGATGATTACAGCCGGTCGAATGTATTGATTAGTAAAGGAGTGAAACTTACAAATACCTGAGTATTTAGATCAACTAGACTGGGATGTAGATAAACAGCCAATTATTGTTATCATGGATACAAATGATAAAATTGTAAAAGAAACAGCTCTACCTAGTGCTTATGATTATGCTCCTTTTTTTTCTGATCTAAACCTAAACGATTCACGAATTGATATGATGTTTATTTCATACCCGAAAGGTTCTTACAGTTACTTAAAAAGCTCTTATTTTAAATTTCAACCAATTTCCAACCAAAAGTTGAATTCTATAGAGGTTCATATAGACGTGGATGATGGTAATAGTAGAGTGATACCAGGTGATGTGGTAAAATTTGATGATGAATATGTTGTTAAAAACCAAGATGAAGTTAAGAAATGTAGACTAGTGTGGAATGGTGAAGTTATTGGTTGTGGTACTAGATTGTATTTTAAACATGTTGAAACTAGTTTGTTTTTCGGTGAAGTGAATAGAACTGATATAGAGTCTCTAAAAGAAGGATATCCTAATGGCGTCTGGTTATTTGATGCTCATCCTAAAACAGTATTTATAGAATATTTAAAGGATCCAAAACCCTTGCTTGCTTTAGGTTGTGATACAATATGCATTGGTCATCCACATGCTGGAAAAAAGATGGTCACATTCGGACAATTGTTGAGTGACTCAGAAGAATGTTTTGATATTCAAGGTCGACATATAAAACAGCCACAACAAGACTGTAAGTGTCAGAAAGTTCATTGTATCAACTATAGCTGTAAAACATGTCCTGGTTCCAGTGGATCTCCAGTAATTATACCATCTCAAAAGTTGGAAGAGATGTTTTTTTTACTCATTTTATGGGTAGAAACGGTGAATCGATAGAAAATATAAACACTGCCTGGTATCTAATGATCCGCACCAAATAGATTTAAACCACAAGATTTTTAGTGAGAGAAAATTGGATTATGATTAGTATTAATTATAAGAATGGAAACTAAATGATGAAAATTATTATTCAATTAACTGTCGGTTATTATTTGTAGACGATACAGTCCTTTTTAGTAAAAACCCCAAAACTTTGCAAGTGTTATGGAACAAATTTTATAAATATTGTATATCATGGAATATGGAAATCAATGAAAACAAATCTAAGATAGTTATATTCATGACCATGAAAATCTTGAGCCAGCAAAACTGAAAGTAGACCACTACATTTTATCTGCACACAAAACGACTATTTCTAAAATTATAATTCCACATGAAAATCGCTCCTCATCTCACAAAATCTGAAAGAAAATGCAAGTTCAGACATCAAATTCCAAATCTAGACCAAAAATTTGGCAAAAATAGGCTGACAAAAATCCCAAAAAGTAGGGAGAAAGGGGATTTCTAAAAATAGCACGAACTACATTCGTAATACAATCACTAGCATAAACTGTTTTACGTGGGTCTGTTCTTATAAATTATAAGGAACTGGAAATTGTTGACTCTTATTTTATTTTATATAGTAATGATAGTTTTTTTTTTAAAAAGTAAAAGCGACTATCTGATGAGGGTAGGAAGACACATGATGGTTTATATAAAATATTAAACGATTATAATTTCAATGTATTTATAAAGTTATTTGATTCATTAGTAGCCTCTATTTAAAATTATAGTTGTGAGGTTTGAGGTTTTAACGTAGAGAAAGATGTCGAAAGATTACGCAATGAATTTCCTAAGCGAATACTAAGTGATCGGCATAATATAAATATTAGTGTATAACGACGGGAATTGCGTAGATATCCATTAGATATTGTAAGTAATTTTTATGGCCGGCCAGTGGCTGTGTACAAAGGAAAGAATTGAATTATGAATTACAATATGATGACAAAAAACGATATTTTCTATACAATAGAATCTCTTATAGACTCATAGTACATTTTTTCAATAGAATGTCACATCTTGAGATAATGATGGTGCAATCAGGAACGTTAATATCAACATAAAATGCAATATAATGGAATTTTCATGCTTAACTGTGTTACTGGCCAGTCCAAGACGAAGCCCCTACATGGCCAATTTTTGCACAGTCCACAGTAATGGAGGTGGGGAAGATTTTTGGATGGAATTGGCACAAACTCAATCACCTAGTGCCTTCAGACCTGTGAATGTCTCTAAAATTCCAATATAATGTTATTTTCATGCCTAACTCTGTCACTGGCCAGTCAATGACGAAGCCTATACATGGCCAATTTTTGATAAATGGCCATTTTTTCCGATGGTTTCCTATGGAATTATGAATGAAATTTTTGGTGCCAGTGAGACAAATTGGCCATGTAAGGGCTTCGTCTTTGACTGGCCAGTCCGCCATATTGGATATTCGTCACTGGCCATATTTCAGCAATTAAAGTAATAAAGGCATTTCTCCCCATTGTACACCTCAATATGTTAGATTGACATCTCATGACCTCAATGGCACCAATTCATAATTCCAAAGGAGGTCAAGATGCTGGATAGTGGTTTCCGAGAGAAATCTTAGGAATAAGCTTAAACTAAATATATTAACATTCACATAAACATTTACAAAACGAACACATTTGACAAGACATTACGAAATATTTACAAATAAACGTTCCCATGTGTCCCTTACCCTAACGAAGAACAGGTTCACTTCTAGAGCGGAACAATGAGGTTATAGAGCAAAACTCACCAAGTTTCAGCCCACGATAATGCCAAAGTATGTCCTTTTATACCTATCGAGGTTGCGCACTGCACGTGCAAAGCGAGACATCTTTTCCCATTGGACCACGTTTCATAACAAATGTTGATTGGCCAAAGTATCATGCACGGCTTTGTATAACAAGTACATTCTAGAAGAAACTCTACTTTCGGTTGAATGTAAACAACAGGATTGACGTTTGTTACTAAATATAGACAATTCGGGAATACATATATAATTATATAACATATATACACAAATACCCTACAATAATTATATATACTTATTACTTAACCAATAATAAAATACTATCTATGTGCGGGCCGACTTTAGAATCACACTCAGACAATCAGCTATTCACCTATTGACACAGCCCCACAACACCCCACCCCACCCCCTACCATATACTAAGCAAGCAATATAAAATAAACATATACCTGAAATACTGAAGAAGTATTATAAAGACAATATAATATGCCTAGTAAATAAAACACAAAGCAAACTAAAACAATATTATAAGAGGATTGCAATATTCACTTTACACTTCGAAATCTAGAACTAATATGATAGACAGTGGAGACAGGTAACCAAGACCAAGTTTAGCTGTTGCTAAGTAGAGCAAAAAGTGCTCACCCTAAGAGTTAGTCGGTCAACAAGCCAAACTATAAGAAAGATGTAATTAGTTTTTAGCTGTGTTGATTAGTAATTAGAATAGTGATAAATGTTGTATTTTATTCAAGTATACATATATGATACAATCTAAACTTTTAGTTTAAAACCTGAAATGTACAATTAACTCCACTGTAGTATCATACAAAGGAGATCTCATAACATACAAAGGGGATCACATAACATACAAAGGAGATTTCATAACATACAAAGGGGATCACATAACATACAAAGGAGATTTCATAACATATAAAGGAGTATAAAAGAGATCTCATAACATATAATGGAGATCTCATAACATATAAAGGAGTATAAAAGAGATCTCATAACATATAATGGAGATCTCATAACATATAAATATTAAAATTTCTCAGCTTGTTTGAAGACAAATATCGTCTCGATGTATTTGTAGTCTGTTCTTCTAAAAAGATTTCTCTCCCTTCACCCACAAATTCCTTTCAGCGAGATTTGATTTTCCAGTCTTTCGTACTAGAAGACGTTTTCATGTTTTTAACAAGTGGTTGGCTGGATGATATTTCTAAAGGGCGGCGCTCTGAACTGTTATGGAGTCGTTTACGAGTTTATTTTGTGTAATCCGATGACTTTGTGATAATTACAAAGTTTCTACTACTATTTTTTCATTGTAAGTAAATTAAATGAACAGTTTAAACATTTTATTTGTTTTAGGCGAGCTGTTGTCTTTATCAAGTCCTCGTACACCTTCGATTTGTTGACTCAATTGTCAATAGTGGTGAAGTCGTGGAATTTTTGTAAACAAAACGAAATTTCCGTAATACGTTTCATTTTTTAGTTTTACTATCTTCGCATATATTCTTCTTAACTCGGATTTTCCTTAATGAGAATGTGTGTTCATTTTTATATATTTATCAATGCAAAGTCAGTCTCGAAATAACTGTTTGAAGCTGATAAAGTCTGATTCTCACTTGAGAGAAAATGAAATGAACGGAGTTTTACATCCTACTTTCCAGCACAGGATTCATTAGGACAGGACGCAATGCAGTGTGCAATGAGGGAAATTTTGCCAGGACAGTGGCATTAGGCTGCTCTATTTCGATTGTCAATTGTCTTTAACATGGACAGTCTGCAGCACACGGGGCCCTGGTTTATTGTCCCATACGAACGACTAGACGCTTTTCCATGTCAGCCCCTCTTACGTGCATCCCTGTTGATCTTACAGAAAGAAGGAACAATGTTTGATTATATCTTTATAAGCTCATTCAAATTCCTTAAGTTATTAAGACACATTGATAATAAGATGAAAGTGAATATTGATGATAAACTGAGCAGATAAAGCTTTGTTTACTCTTGTGATTAGTCTATAGTTATATCTTTATTCATGACAAAGTTAATATAGAATAGAAACATACCTCCATCTGCTGAGCAACTTACTTGTAAAGTGACTTATGACTTACATTGTAATTACCTGCATCAAAACTTTCATAATTAATAAAACTATGAAATAAATTTATAAATCCTCTAATCGTGTACAGTATGTTTTTTATAAATGTGGCATGTTGTGATGATGAAACTATTATTGATTATGCCTCTCTGATTATTTTGATTAATTGATTTTTATTATTTTATGATTGCCAATTCATGACAAAGTTCTTTTTTAGGCAGCTAAGCTTACAAGGAAGGTCCTTTGTCTGAGCAAAGTAAAAATTCTTTTTTAATGTTATCCATTATTTTTATGAGAATTAGAATATCAGCCTCAAAATAGTACTGTTAGTCTTAGAATGTCTTTGCGTTGATAAAAATATAATATTTTGAAAAGAAACGCATTTCTCTCCTACAAATTTCAACCCAAAAAAGACACAAATTTTGACCAGGAATGGGCCTCTGTAATAACAAATTTTGAAGACATAATTTGGGCTTATGTTTATATTTTGATCCCAGCCTAGGTCAAGATTGTACTGTCAGCTTTATATACCAACCTGTTTCCACCTGAAAAAAGTATAGATTATATTTTAAAGATGAAAGGTTTGAATGATAAACTAGGAATATAAAAATAAAAAAAATTATGCCTTATAAAGATTCCTGTATGTAAATTGAAACCTCTCTGAAATTAAAGAAAGGAGTAGTCAATCCATTATAGTGATTCACCGTGAAAATTCGCCCAGTCCGTCCGTAGTTTATTATCAGGAATATAAAGTGTATATAAAGAGTCTGATATTAGATTGATATATACTGGTAATCTTATTCTTAAGTAGGTTATTGTTATAAATATAGGAAGTATTGTAGTCTTCAGTTTCAAGTCATTTTAGTTTGGTTACTATTCAATGACAGGAAATATCAAGTTAACAAAGTCTATTTTATTTTCTCATTTTAATTTCAAAATGATTTTCTAACTTATTATTTAAAAAAGGCTTTCATTCAAAGCTGAAAATATTTTAAAGGGACAATTTTTCCATTTTTAGGGCTTTATTTGGGAATATATGTAAATAGTCACCTGGGACAGAGTGTGTTACTAACCATTTTCAAATTTGAGATTCTTGAAGCGAGCAAGTCGTTTTTTTTTATTTTAAAACACAAGTAATTATTTATATACTGGTAACTAGATGTGAATAAATAAACCAAGTACTAACAATCCCAACTGCTTAACAAAACCCAAAATCCAAACATCATATTGGCAAAACATTTGTAGCAACTATCTTTTCACATGAAGTATATCAATCATAAGTGGATAAGTATTTCATAATGAAAAGTGATATCAGGTGCCTTGAAGAGTAAGCATACCCTGCTTGGCACAACAAATTTAATGAAGTATATCAATTATAAGTGAGTAAGTATTTCATAATGAAAGTGGTATCAGGTGTCTTGAAGAGTAAGCATACCCTGTCTGGTGCCACACCCATTAGATTAGCTGAACTATTCTTGTTTTTGACCTCCAAAAATAGTGAATCATGGCTTTTAAATAAGGTTTATATTCTGATGAAAGAAATGAAGATATAACTAATTATAATGAATATATCAGTTGACTGAAGATTTTTAGATTTAGCTTCAGGCTAATAATTTCATTTCATCTGTAATTTATTTTGTCATGGTGACCAATGTAATGTGTTTAGGACAATAAGACTTGGGTATGTGAATCATGCCTGAGTTTCATGTTTTAGAGGTAAATTTACTGATTATTATTAAACCAAAGGTACTGGCACAGGGTTAGTAGAGATTAGGGTGGTTGATAGGTTACAAGTTACTATTTAACAGAAGGTACTGGTACAGGGTTAAAACAGTGTTTACTAATTGTAGAGATTAGGGTGGTTGAAAGGTAACAAGTTACTATTTAACAGAAGGTACTGGTACAGGGTTAAAACAGTGTTTACTAATTGTAGAGATTAGGGTGGTTGATAGGTTACAAGTTACTATATAACAGAAGGTACTGGTACAGGGTTAAAACAGTGTTTACTAATTGTAGAGATTAGGGTGGTTGATAGGTTACAAGTTACTATTTAACAGAAGGTACTGGCACAGGGTTAAAACAGTGTTTACTAATTGTAGAGATTAGGGTGGTTGAAAGGTTACAAGTTACTATTTAACAGAAGGTACTGGTACAGGGTTAAAACAGTGTTTACTAATTGTAGAGATTAGGGTGGTTGATAGGTTACAAGTTATTTCTATTAATTCTATGATAATTTGAATGTCAGTCTCTAAATAGTACTGTTAGTCTTAGATTGTCTTTGATATGATAAAAATATAACCATAACCAAACATTATGTATTCAAATTTTTTACAGAGGACAATATTCGACCAATTTAAAGGTAACAAGTTACTATTAAACAAAGGCACTGACCAATACTTACGATTTTTTTACAAGTTGAGAGAAATCTGTTTCTTTTTAATATAAATTTACAATTTATTATATTTTTAATGACAAATTGGAGAAATTTTAAGACCAACAGTACTAATAGAGGCTGGCATTCCAATTCTCATAGAAAATATAGAAAAAATTCAAAAATTTTGTACTTTTCCCAGACAATAGTCAATTGTGTTTCATATTTTATGAATGTAACTGTAAACAGATATAATTATATATAGTAGTATATAGTTTAAAACCTTGTAGAATAAATGGTTTACAATATGAAATATAATATATGTTATAATATAGCCGGAGGTTATGATTTAATATCTGAAATCAAGATAGCCTAATATTTATTGTTTAATATACTATAGTTGATATAATCATAATGATTATTATTCAGGCGTGCAGTTTCTGTATTGATTATATCTGAGTGATTACAAGCTGAAATTCAAAATTCACCTGAAAACTTAGCGTCATTAATAAAATTGATTTTACAAGTAATATGTGCTTAAAATATTTAAAAGCTACCGGTATGTTTGCTGGATATTTTCACCTTATTATAGAGACTGGCTCAGCTTTGGTCTTATTTTTCAGCTTTATTATTATGTTACAGAGGGTAAAATTGTGTGTGAGCCATTGGTACTCTCAGATCAATTTTAGTGATAGACCAATCAAATCAGATGAAGACAATATGACAGTCATTTTAAAAGCAAATTTTTTCATGTATAAGGCCGTGTGCAGTATTTTTTCTAAGATTATTAACCCTTTCAAGCATAGCTGTATAATAATACAAAATATACCCTAGCAACCAGTAAACCGTCCGTTATTAAGCCATATCACACAATGTTACTCATACTTAAATTATATTACTTCAGGGAATATTCAGATGTTTTGTTTCATTTACACTCATATTTTTTTTTTTTTTTCTTCAGATGAGAGTGAGCCCAGGACAGTATGTAAGAGCAACTTTTGATTTTAACACAACAGAATCAGGGGAGATAAATCTAAAAACAGGGGAAGTACTTCTTGTTACTGATGTAATAAATGAGAATTGGATATGTGGTGAAATAGACCATCGTAAAGGAAGTTTTCCTGTAAATTTCGTAGAAGTCATCGATGTACCTCAGACGTCTAATGGACAGAAACTATTTTTAGCTACAGAAAGTTTTCAATCAACGGAACATGGTGACTTGAATTTCAGAAAAGGTGAGGAACAACCTGAGAATATATTTTAGGAACAAATCTCTTTTGAATCCGGAACTGTTGTCAAACAAATCATGAAAAATGGAAGTGCGCACAACCTTGTATATCATTACCATACATGTGTACAGGTCAAGAAAAAAAATCTGGAGAACTTAGTCTCAGACCTTACTCATATATTAATATGTTATGTTTATTTGTTATAATAATATATTTGTTATAATAGTATATTTGGCCTCGTACAAAATATTTATGATACTCAGTGTGTAAACTGTTTTGGATGTTGTAAATAAAGTTGGAAAAAAAGTAAAAAAACCAAACTGAACTGATCTTTCAATTGAAAAGGAGGTGTTGAGTATAAGCTGTAACTGAATAATAGAGATGAAATCTCTCCACGCCCAATATAGCATTTTGGATTAATCATCCTCAAGAAATTTGTTATTATTCAAAATATTTACTGAAAGGATACAAACTTTATTGTACATGATACACCATAGTCCTCTCACATGGTCTATATCAGATCCATTACAATTAACATAATATAAACCTTGAATTGTTGAAAATAAAATAAATTACCAGAGAATATCAGCCTACAATAAAATTTCCTTTTTAACTATAAATCTTTAAAGTAGTCTACTAGAGTCTGATTTCAGAATCAATTCTAAAAACCAATCTGAGAGAATATTTATTACACTAGAGTCTAGACTAGAATTAGCCCTGACAAAGATGCAATAAATTTTGGTTTTTATAACGTCTTGTAGAAATAGAATAAATATTCCACAGCAAAATTTAGTTTATTTTACTGTTTGTGAGAAAATTGTTTTTGTTTTTTTTTCAGGGGAAATAATCCTGGGATTAAAAGCTGTGGATGATAATTGGTGGAATGGACGCGTGGGAAAAAACACCGGCATTTTCCCCAAAACATTTGTCAAATCGTTACCAACTTTACAACAACAGAACAACTCTACAGCTTTAACTAACGGCAACTCTCAAGCGTCACCAAAATCAGATAATTCCATCCGTGTCCCTTTTAAAGCCACTGCTTTGGTTGACGTCACACCACAATTAGATTATGAGTTAGGTTTCAGAGCAGGGGATGTTTTAACTGTCATTGAAATCGTGGATGATGATTGGATAGAAGCTGAATTAGACGGGCAATCAGGACTCGTGTCATCTGTTTGCGTTGATTTACCCAAAAACTGTAAAGCTACACCAAAATCCACACAATCTCTTTGCAATACAACTGGGCAATTTTATTCTCATCAAGGTTCGAATGAATCGTCTTTTAAATCAATGAATTCTTCCTCGTATTCTCATTCATCACAAAAACAAACACAAAGTCCTGGCTCAACAGAATCGTATCAAAACCCGAAATCAAACCAAATCTATGAAGATTCTTCTCAAAAACAAACACAAAGCCAGGATTCATCAGAACCGTATCAGAGTCCGAAATCACGAGGAAGTATTACAGCTACGTCAGCCTCTCTCGATATCAGTGACTCCTATCATATGTCTCAAGAAGACAACGTGTACGCATATCTTGATGCTTATCTGGAAGCAAACAGCAACCCTGAGGAAACAGCTACGTTGTATTCTTACACCAGTGAAAACACAAGGTCTGGTGATGCAGAGATCAGGCCGTACGCTGGCGTATTGTATCCTTTCGTAGCCCAGTCTCCTCAAGAACTCTCCATTAATAAAAATGATATTGTTATTTTAATCCAACACGTGGATCCTGATTGGACGGAAGGAGAGCTTGACGGTAAAATCGGCATTTTTCCTACTAGTTATATTGACATCATTGTGGATTGTCCCTACGCATACAGTAAAGGGGAGGTAACTGCTAGTCAGGAAACTTACGATCAGAATAAAAACATTGAGAAATTGAGTTCAAAGTCCAATCCTAATGTGCCTGTAAGTGAAACTGCTGAAGAAGATGAGTCTTCCAAGGGGGATAACTCTTTCAAGGGGGATAACCATTCTAAGGGAGATAATTCTAATGAAGAGACTGTAGCAGAAGAGGAAGTGAGTGAGGATGGAATATCGTGTAATGATTTAGCTCTAGTGAAATTTTCAATCACGGCTCAGTCAGAGTATGATTTAAGTATTAAAGAAGGGGACACAATCACAATTCTTACGCGATACACAGATAACTGGCTGCAGGCCCGGGATGAAGACGGGAATATTGGACTTGTGCCGTCAAACTATGTGGAAATCATTCAAGAAGGGCCAATGCCTGATCAGGGGGAAGATAACCTGGCATCTGACAATGTAGAAGATGATATCAACTCATGTTCTGAACACCATTCTGATTCTGAGCTTCCTGGTGAATTAGGTCCAGAAACTGGAATAGCGGAGGTCGATGAGGCCATCTCTGAAAGTCCAAGTGAAATAAACCAAAAAACTGACTCATCTGATATTCCAACAGAATCACATTCAAATGAACCATCTGAAACTTGTGCAATAAGTGAACATGATGATGAAAAGGAATCCTTAGTTTGTGATAATTTTTCTGAAAAAGGTGACAATGTGGATGACGAAATTGTCACAGAAATCTCTCATCAATCAACTTCTTTAGAAAAGGATTCAGGTTCAGATTCAGTTATATCAAAGAGTCTTGATACGTCTCAAAAACCAGTGCCTTTACCCAAACCAAAACTTGCTGTGAAACCGTGTTTAAAACCCAAACCGACATTGCCTTCAAAACCGTCAGTGGCCCCGAAACTGTTGAAGCCAGCTCTCCCTCCAGGCGAAAAAGTGTTTCCCAAAATTGATCCTTCCAAGTCCCTAGATTTTATTATCGCTGGTGAACTCAGTAAAGCAAAAACAGGACCAAAAGAATCCAAAAGTGATTCTGAAGTCCCCGTAACCACTACCAGACTTTCAGTGTCATTCTATGAGAGTAGTGTCCCCTTAGATTCAAAAACGGTCTTATTGAATGAAGCCTCTGTAACTTTTACTAAAGACCCTTCACCTCCGTCTTTACGACCCCCTCCCCTCCCTCCAAAAAGCAACATTGTGTCTAATCTTAATCAAGATACTGTCAAACAAAATAAATTTCAGAAAAGTGTATCTTTAAATCATGAAGACTTCGTGCAGTCTCGAACAATTTCTAAAAGTCAGAGTCAACCAGACCGTCCACCAAGACCAAAATCTGTAAATTTCGGACGTTCAAGTTTCTACTTAAATGATGCATTTGTTACGGAAGAGGGGGAGCAATCAAACAATCGAGGATCTTTTAAGAAAAAATCAAAATCACGTCCAGGTAGACCCCAAAAACCATCTAAAACTGGATCAAAGCCTCGACCAGTGCCTGCAAGACCAGCTCCCGTGGCTCCAGGTAGAAAGATAACTCCTGCTAGACCTGCACCTCCCCGACCTCCTGTATCAGCTCCACCACGACCATCGCCAGCTGTCCGTAAAAAGATTTCCACGTCCCAGTCTAATTTGTCCGCCACGGCAGATCTCATGACTTTTAGTCCAGAAGAACAAGCTGGTAAGCAAACGTTTTGTTATTTTGGTAGATTATTGGTCAACACCTTTACATGATAGACTTACAGGTATTATAAATAGGTTTTCTTTGTGTGTATCAGGAAACACTGATCGAATGAATTTGCACTATTGTAATTTAGAGAAAGGGAGTACTCTTAAAGAGATTTTCTTTTGTTTTGATAGCATCAATTTACACCATTATAATTTTCAATCAGAAGTCTGTGGTTCCTGGAATTCCACTATAACAAAGCTTTCACAAGATCCTTAGATATCGTACGGTTAACAGCTTTGTGAGATAGTTTATAGTTAGATATTTCTTTTATGATGGGGACCACAGACATCTGACAGAAAATTAGATTGAACCAAATACAAACCCTGGCCCTGATACATGTAAAATAGTTGGAAAATCTCCTTTACAATCCCATTAAATAAAAAATAAATAAATAATGTTCAGCTGATAGAATAAAATCCAGTAGTCCATGACTATAACTGAATGAAATACCATTTAAATATTTATTATGGTATATAATATTAAGTTAAGTTTCGACCAATCATTAGGTCTGTTTAGGCAAGGGGTGACACCTGTGTTAAATTCTGGTGTAAACAGTACCAGTAGCTGACTTTATTTAAAAAAGAACTGTGGTTTTGCTTGGTTTGATTAAATGTTGATTAAAATTTGAACAGGTTTTCACTGAGAATTCTCATCAACAGAAAAAAAATATTTGAACATGTGAGAGCTGCATTTTTGTTTTCGATAGAAAATGGTCTTAATGGAGTTATGTAAGGAAATCTTCAAGCCTTTTCGGCAGTTTGGAAGTTATAGAAGCACTGGTCAAGGTTACGAGATGAGGTTTTTCAACAAGAGACAATCAATTTAGATGAAATTTTCGTATTGAAAAGTACTCATGAATTATTAGTTCTAGAGAGATTTACAAAATAAACAAATAATTACAATATTTAATGCAATTGCTTGAAGCTGTTGATGGAAAGGGAACTAATCTGCCATGGACAGGTGTATTACAAAGAAACCCTTGGCCAGTGCTTCTATAGGAGAGAATATCTTATAACACCTATTGATACTAAAACTGATAGGTGAAAGGAAATAGTTGTTTCTCTATATAAAGTTTTCTACTTTATCTACAATTTCTTATATGTTACTAAATATAGGTAGGTAGGTAATGACCTTTGTGTTTACTTTCTATATTATTGTATTTCTCCACCAGATAACATAAAAAATTATTGGCCAACATTTTACACTTTTAAACTAATATCAGAGTAGATATGTTGTATTAAATTACTTGAGATGTGTGGAAATATTAGACAGACCTATGTTAGGATGCCCAGTGTATTGTATGGAATATGTTAGTGAGATATTGTATATGTAATGATTAGATTCAAAGGAAATATAACAGTGTATTAATGAGGTATTTTGGATGTTATATCACAGTATCCTAGGTCTATATTTACCTATCTATTATAAACTATGTTAGAATATTATTAATGAAGTTTGGTTTCTGTTAAATATCTTTATAAGATGAACATTATTGTTATCACTGTTTTCAAATTTTACATTTAGAAATATAAATAACATTATCCCCGATACACATACAAAATTTATAAAACCTCTTTATAATCCTTTTAAACAAAAAAATAAAACATGATTTTTATTGCAAATATTATTATGATATAAAAAGTGCTTGAACTCTTGGTTAAATGACTCTCATAGTTGACTTCTATTTGTCAAACAAAATTCAGTACCGGTACATGAACATATATTTAATAACCTTGTATGTAATTATTATAAAAAAAACAATTAGAAATTGAGGTCAGACTTAACAGGTGGTTGTCTGATTGTTAAAACAATGTATCAACATCCCTATTCTAACCAGTTATTATACCATATTTAAAATAGGCTAATTCTTGGCTGAAAAAGTTGCTATGATAGAAATTTGAGAAAAGAAATTGTACACTGTGTTGCCTACAGACCATTGTAAAATAATAATGAATAAATACAGAGACAGAAAAATAACTGAAATTTTATGTTGTTAACCAAAAAGACACCTTTATTTTTTCTGGATTTGAAAATAAGGCCCATGTATTAGTTAATCAAAATAAAAATTTGTTAAATAAATAATTTTGTTACATTAAGATGTTTATCAGGAAATGTTACATACACCATTCTGATTTTCACTCTGATGTTCATGTAATTTAATACCAGTTACCACATCCAGATCTAGAACGGAAGGCCTACTAAAAAACCTTTTGGTGATAGGAACATCATAAAACTGATCAATATCATATTTATTTGGGTAAAAAGTTAGGTAAGGGGGGGCATGGTCCCCCCAGAAAAGAGGTGGACCCAGCATGGCCCCCTACTTTCATAATCATAGTGAAAGAATAGCCTGTAGCCCCCTGGTCAATTTTATGGGCCCTGCTTTCACCTAATGTTTCCAGAAAACACCACTGTTTAACATCTAATAAAAGTTGATTTGAATATTTCAGTATTTAGCCTGAAGGTTTGGTTGTAGTTAAAAATCTATAATCTATATCACTATTATTTATTGTTAATATTTAGAATATGTCACCAATACACATAAAAAGTTAGAAAACCTCTTTAACTTATTTTTAAATTTGATTTGAATTTCTATTTTGCCTGAAGGATTGATATTATTATTATTATTAATAAGTGATTATTTTGTTGAAGAAAAAGGACAATGTTCATGTCAAATAGATAAATGAATTTATCTTAGTTTTTATTGAACATATCATACGTTATTATCTCATATTATTATATTTTGATCATATCTTGTTATAGAATAGGCTGTAGGTTATTTGGTTTGTGTGTTAAAATTTAGAGGTAATTTACTCGTTGATCAGTGGTTGAAGGTTCTATTCTTCGTCAGTTTGTGATGGTTTTGAATAAGTCATCTTTCCCCATTATTGAAGTCAACCCAACCCAGCTGTAAATTGGTTCGGAATCTCTGTTGATTCTAAATAAGTCTTTCTAAAGTATTCCAGTCAATCTCTCTCTTCATGGGAACAGAATCTCTTATCATTATTCCAGTCAACTCAGCTGTAAATTGGTACAGAATAAATCATCTTTCCTCATTATTCCAGTCAACTCAGCTGTAAATTGGTGCTGAATAAATCATCTTTCCTCATTATTCCAGTCAACTCAGCTGTAAATTGGTGCTGAATAAATCATCTTTCCTCATTATTCCAGTCCAGCTGTAAATTGGTGCTGAATAAGTCATCTTTCTTCATTATTCCAGTCAACTCAGCTGTAAATGGGTACTGATAATCCAGAAAAGATCAGTCCCTGT